CCTGTTGAGCAGAGAGCCCGATGTGGGGCTCGATCCCAGGACCTTGGGATCATGACCTGAGCCGAAGGCAGAGGCTTTAACCCACTAGGCTACCCAGGTGCCCCTGGTAGCTTTTTTTTAAGACTTAACTGGACCTCTTAGATATCAGGGAAGTATTTCATAAGCAACTATAGAAACAAGTGCATATTCTTGATTCATCACTTTGGGTAAAGTTGGCGGTAAGTCCTGTGAACCATCGGTTAGACAAATAGGTGATGGGACTGAAATGGGAGGGTCTCAGAGATTCAGGCCCCACCACCACCCACCTCGCCGCCACCAGCCAGTGGTCCTCGTGGGCCACAGGTCCTGTGATGAGCATCTCTTTGGCGTCCTGGGGCCTCGGCACAGTAGGTCACGGACTGCAAACAGGCTGAAGGAGGAGTCTGCCCTCTTAAAATCAAACCTAAGAAAGCAAAAACTTTTCAATGCTGTTGAAGAAGATGTATTTCTTTGGGTCAAGCGAGCCTTTAAAGATATTCTGTGATCTTGTTCGTCTGTAATATTTAAAGGGCAGCTTCATAACACGAGCGACCATCCTTGCCGATTATTCTAGCCGTGGGGCACCTGGGTGGTTCAGTCGGTTGAGTGTCAGGACCCTTGGTTTCCACTCAGGTCATTAGTTTTCACGGATTGTGGACCCTGTACTGGGTTCTGCCCTCAGAGGGGATTCTGCTTGATTGCTTGATGACGATCTTCTCCTGTGCCTCCCCCCCACTCGAGTGTGCGCTCTCTCTCTCTCTCTCTCTCAAATAAATAAGTCTTTAAAATTAGAATTAAATTAAATCTGTAGAATTAGAATTCTCTAGCACAGCCCTAGGGAATAAACTCAGATATAGTTTGTGCCCATAATACTGCCCCGCACGAGTGGTACATTGAAAACTCTAGTGATGGGCCCCTGGGTGGTTCAGTCAGTTAAGCCTCTGCCTTCGGCTCAGGTCATGATTCCAGGGTTTTGGGATCAAGTCCCGAATTGGGCTCCTTGCTTGGCAGGGAGCCTGCTTCTCTCTCTGCCTCTGCCTGCTACTCTGCCTGCTTGTGCGCTTTCTTTCTGTGTCTCTGTCAAATAAGTAAATAAAATCTTTAAAAACTCGAGTGATTTTATTTTATTGTCCAGAAACATTGAATTTTAACTGTATCTTTCCAACACATATAAAAAGAGAGTAGAATGAGGCTAATATCTGGGACCAATCAACAAAAATATTTCTTAAGTGCCTGTAAAATAAATTGTTAGGCTAAACATTGAATAATATGCATGTAATAAACAGGGACATGTTGGCTATGACAACGTACCTATTAGGTATAAACTAAGATAAAAGCATATGTCTTCAGAGACAGATGGAGGATAGATTGACAGAAAAACAGCATTCTTCATGGGAAAGTGATACTCCACAAACCATACGCAGGCAAGCATTTTCCAGCAGTACCATCAGACAGTTTCCGTTGACTGATGACACCACGTCCAGTAGTTTGTCCCTTGAAATGGGGAAAATACAACATCGCCTGAGGGATTGCCCCAGCACAGCTGTGTTGGTGCCGGGCACACGTGGTGTTGGGCAAAGGGTCGTTACCGTTACTGCATGTTGCTTAGTCATCCCTGCACCCAGCTCAGCAGACCTTCCAGCAGCTGGTCCCAGCCCCAGCAGAACTGTGAAGCCATTTGTGTCTTTTGTGCCCTTGGCCCCGCCTTGGAGTACCCTCCTGACCTTTCGGATACTCACGGCTCTCACACTGTCTGAACAATCCCAATCTTTTCTTTTCTTTTTTCTTTTCTTTTTTTTTTTTTTTTTAAGAGGGGGACAGAGGGAGAGAATCCTGAGCAGGATCCGTGCCCAGTGTGGAGCCCGATGCAGGGCTCAGTCTCACAACCCTGGGATCGTGAAAACAGACAAAACCAAAAGTCGGTTGCTTAACTGACTGAGGCATCCAGGTGTCCCAACAATCCCAGTCATTTTAAATATTACACTTTAGGGGCCCCTGGGTGGCTCAGTCAGTTAAACTTCTGGATTTGGCTCAGGTCATGATCCCAGGGTCCTGTGATTGAGCCCCGCATCGGGCTCTCTGCTCAGTGGGGAACCTGCTTCTCCCTCTTCTCCCCACTCGTGTACGCTTGCTCTCTCTCATTATCTCTGTCTCTCTCTCGCTCGCTCTCAAACAAATACATAAAATCTTTAAAAAATTGCTCAAAATAATTGTGTGCCTGAACTTGGCTCAGCCACTTGAGGTCTTGTGTTCCTAATTTCACATATCATAGTAGCTGGGATATATTAGATAGTAAAGGTTTGCTCAAGGGAAGCTGATCCTTCATAGGATAATTGTAGGCATCAGTACGTACCTGTAGAGGCTCTGGCTAGAGCATCACACAAGCCCCATCCATGGCCGCTGAAATCACACTGTTTAGGCTAAACTTCCAAGTAAAGTGGCACAGTACCCTTAGGGCCGCGGCTGTGCGGTGTGGTACAGAGAGGTCAGAAGGGACGGTCCCCGTGGGCCCCTCAGATGGCTCGGTGTTCCCTCTAGGGGACCAGCAGGCTGGGGCTGCAGCAGACCCAAATGAGAGCACAGGGATCTAAGAACTAAAACACAATCCAATGCCAAGTTTGTGTTTTGACCCAACTTTGTGGGTCAGATTTCAGGCCCAGTGTCCCAGGCCAGGAGGCAAGAGCCAGCCAGCCTCACAGAGGGATGAAGTTGTTTCTGGTCCGAATGTGAAGGCAGGCGAAGGCTTGCCCGGAGACCCCTGTCGTGGGTAGAGTCTGAGTCACGCACCGGGGTCCCCTGCATTACCTTCCTTCCAGAGATGAGAAGATGCTTCCCTCAGTGCTGCTCAGCCTAGTGGGCTGAAGGGCACAGCCAGCAAATGTGGCCTCGAGCTCTGTTGGTGGATTGAATTATGTCCCCCCAAAAAAGACATGCTAAAGGCCTAACCCCTAGTCCATCAGAATGTGACCTTATTTGGAAACAGGGTTTTTAGAGATGTAATTAGTTAAGATGAGGGCCCACGGTAGTGGGGTGGTCCCTGGTCCAACAGGACTAGTGTCCTTGTAAGCTCGGGAAAAACAGACACAGGGCATGCCTCCATGGGACAATGGGTGGAGGTGGCAGGAAAGCAGCTGCCAGCCAGGGGACAGCAGAGATTCACCAGAAGCTGGGGAGACACGGGAGGGAGTGCCCCCTGCAGGTGCCGGGGGAAGGATGGCCCTTGCCAGCACCTCGATTGTGGACTACCAACCTCCGGGACTGAGAGACAATCACCTTTTTTTGTTCCAAGCCGTTCAGTTTGTGATACTTTGTTAGAGTGGCCATGGGAAGTGACACGTCCCCAAGACACATGCTCTTCTCCGTCCACTCACGGGCGCTGGCAGCTGTGTGCTTGGGGGCACGGGGGATACCACAGCGTCCGTGCAGATGTGGATCTCTCCATAATTGCCATGGCCACCACCCCCTGTGGCCATCCGGACCCTGCTCTCCCCAGCTGCTCCTCCTCCCCGTGACCCTCCCTGGATGAGACGATGCCTGCGTGGCTGGAGGCTGAGGCAACCCACCTGCGCACTCTCTTCCCCTCCATCCTGCTCCCGCCCCACAGCCTCTGTTGCCATCCCCCTGCCACAGGGCCAGGTGCATGCTTTACCTTTCTTCTCCCAAGAGGAACAGATTAAGCGCAGAGTACACACCACTCTTCCTTTCTGGTGTTCTGGAATATACCTTTATGCATACGATGTTCCGTCTTCCCCTGCTAATGAAGATCCTGACGATGAAGTAGGCCACCAGAATATATCCGCATCATTAATATCCAGCATCTGAAAACAAAGTAGCTTGCTTCATTAAAAATATAGGCCTGTTCTTTTAAAGATGTGGAAATTTAGAATTTCTTTAAGGAGCATCTGGGTGGCTCAGTTGGCAAAGTGTCTTGACTCTTGATTTCAGCTCAGGTTGTGGTCTCAGGGTCGTGAGATCGAGTCCCACGTTGGACTCCATGCTGAGTGTGGAACCTGCTTAAGATTCTCTCCCTCTCCCTCTGCCCCTTCTGACCACTTCTCTTAAAAAAAAAAAAAAAAAGAATTCATTTAAATCCGATTGCATTTCTTTAAGTTTAATTGCATTCAGGCTTCCAGTTATGGAATGACTAAGTCATGGGAATTAAAGGCACAGCAGAGGGAAGAGTCAGTGGTGTTGGAACAGCGTTGTGTGGTGACGTGTTGACTTGTGGGGCGTAGGACATCAGGTGTAGACCTGTTGGATCACTGTGTTGTAAGCCTGAAGCTAACATTGTGTCAACTACACTCAAATAGAAAAACAACCAGTAAATAGGTGTAATTGCATTCTGTGGACAATATGCTCTTTTTGAGAAGTGGTACGTGCATTGTTCTGAGGCAGGAATAGGTAACAGCATGACAGCTGATTTTCGTAAGGCTTGAATAATCGTTGCTTAAATTAAGAACCATCAGATAAAGAAAGGGCAGGAGGAGGCCAAGTTCAAAGTCACGAAAAGGGAAAATGAGGAAGGAAAAGCCACTGCAGGGTCAAGGGTGAAAATAGCGCATAGAAAAGCATAAGATAGCTGGTTTTTTGCTGAGGAGAGTTGTGATACTAAACAGGATGATCCTTGACTGATTGCAAATTTGTATGAAAATGACTGCAAAACTAGAAGAGTTTGGTGCACAGATCTCACCAACTGGGAGGCCAGCGGTGGAGCTGGGATTTGAATTCCATCTGACTGGAGAGGCCGTGTTCTTGCCTCTTGACTCCAGCCGCCTCTGCACAAGTGTCCCTGTAATTCTCCTTATTTTCCTTTGAGAACAAAATAAGTTCTCCAGGGCCTTCTGTGCACCAAACTAATGCAAGTGTTGGGCCAGCCTGAATGCCAGCTGCGATCATTGCAAATCATGAGCGTTGTTGCCATGTCTGGTTGCAAGTTCAAGGCCTGACCCTGAGGCTGACCAGGATCTCCTTGAACCCCCCAGGAGCAGAGGTGACCTACATGAACATGACCGCCTACAACAAGGGCCGGCTCCAGTCGTCCTTCTGGATCGTGGACAAACAGCATGTCTACATCGGCAGTGCTGGCTTGGACTGGCAGTCGCTGGGACAGGTAAGCTTTCCATGTTACGTAAACTCAGAGCCACGTCGGCATCAAAGCTCCCCGCTCCGTAACGCACGTGGGCCGCTCCGCCAGGGTGTAGGAAATAAAATACAGCACTGATTATTTTTCACTGGAAGTTTCAATAGGCTCCCCTCCTTTTAATATGAAATGAGAACCCTTTCCTTGACAGTCATCTTCCCCCAAACACGGCATGGTTTCAGGGCTCTTATAATTCAGATGCTACCCCCAGATTCTGTAGACGGGTTGCTGTGTGGTTTATGTTATCCAGACCGAACTGTTCAGCATGAGATCACATACTCTGTGAGACAGCGGAAGACATCAATTCAGCATAGACCGTATGTTTTAGAACAGTGATCATTTGTGTTATTCCTCGAGTAAATCTTCACATGACGGTGTTACCTCCTCTTGGCAAATAAGTCATTTCAAATGTCTTGAAGATACACTTGAACCATCTGTAATTTTCATGTATTTATTTCTGTCAGGGTGATCCCTTGAGGATGGCAAACCAGCTTCTTCTCACTAGTCAGCCGGTGGCTGGAAGGTCTCTACCCTTGGGGGGCATAGGAGGACGGGCAGGTCAATCACACATGCCACATGGCCCATACAGACCTTTGGTTGAACTCTTAATGTTCAGATCCCTGAAATTACCAAGTGAATTATACTGTGTTTCTTATGGGAAAGAGAGTGTGGATGTGTAGACCGACACAAGGGCCATAACTTGTAAAGAAAGACATCACTACACAGGATAAACCTAAGAGAGGGTAACAGGGTATTTGTACTGTCAGCTTCCATTTGCCTCCCAGTTTCCACCATTGTCCTGTTTTTCTTCTTAAAATGCTACCCTTCGGGCACGGAAATTCTGTTCTTTCATTTTTCCGGTGGAGGCAGCTGTAAAAGAAATAGCCAGTGGGCAAGCCAAATACTGAAATAAAGTACTAATACTTCCCTCTCCAGGAAACAGACAGTGTAGAGCCCAAGTACAACTGAACTAAGGTGGGTTTTCCTAGTTTTGTGTTTAAAGGATAGTCAGGGTCATCCAGTCCCAAAGCTCAAACTGTTGTTTCTGAGAAGATGGCCTCACCCCAGCAAGAAGGAACACTGAAGAAAGTTTCCCAATCAGTTTTGAGAGAAGTCACCATCCAAGGTTGACAAAACATCCTTTATTTTATATTTGCTTAGTAATTTGAAGGTGCTTTCTGCTGGTATAAAAATGATTCTGAACAAAATAATAGTATCGATTAGCAATCGTGACAGTAATAACTCTCGAATATTACACACCAGGTGCTCTGCTAAGTGACTTAAGTAGATTACTTACATCTCACAGTGATCCGATGATGGAAAAAGATTTCTGTTCCTGTTTTGAAGTAGACCTGCACCCAAAATTGAATTTCAGTATTAAAATTTTTAGGCCATTCCTTTGAGTATTAATTCTGATATGAACAACATAAATTTTGATTTAGTAGCTCTCATGTCTGATGGCCCTTCAAACATGGAGAGAAAAAATATGGATTAGGGGCATCTGGGTGGCTCCGTCGTTTAAGGGTCCGACTCTGGATATTGGCTCAGGTCACGAGCTCAGGGTCCTGAGATCCAGCCCTGTGTTGGGCTAGATGCTGAGGTTGGAGCCTGCTTGGGATTCTCTCTTCCTCCACCCCTACCTGCTACCTCCCAGGTGTGTGTGCACACCCTCTCTCTGTGTCTCTTAAAAAAAAAAAAACAACTAATTAAAGGAGGCTAAAATAAAAAAAATATGGATTACAGCAACTTCAGCTGTACAGAAATAAGAAGTAAGGCAAGGATAGTATTATAGTCTAATTTATAGAAATATCTAAGTTGATCTTTTGCTAATCATCCTTTGCCCAGAAATTTTCAGCTGAGCCTTTTATAATAAATAGATAAAATTAGTTCTGTAACAATATTGATTACATGTAAATTCTGCTGCTAAGCAATTTTTAACTTGAGAATCATTTGCTTTTTTTTTTACTTCAGAAAAATGCACTTCCCACCACCAAATTTTATTTCATTTGATATTAAGTGATATTATCACTGATAGGGTTTAAAGTTCTGTGAATTCCGTTTGAATAGCGTTTGAATAATTGAAGGTTAGTGACCTTTTTCTCCAAATTTTTGAGTAAATTATCTTTATAATTTCCTCAGGCAGGTGTTTCCCTAAAATATTCTTGTGTCGGCGTCCCTGCTTGAGGCTTACTCCTTTGTCTCTGATGTTTGCTGTTTGTTTCGTAGAAAAGTAGGTCGATCTTCTAAGTTCACTTTTTACCCGTGTCGTCATTGAGACATGGATCCCCGTCGTGAAATGTGACACTTTCCCTGCTTAAACATGGTAAACGCAGATGAAGGCGGGGCTGCCTGAGTCCGGAGAAGACGCGAAACCATCCCCGATCTCTGCTTGCGTAGCCTTTCTGCAGACGTAGCTAGTTTCCCTTGCCCAGCGCAGAAGGCCTGAGTTGCCCACGAGTCAGAGGACTGAGCGCGGAAGTGCCAGTGCCCGGCTCTGTGTTAAATAGCTAGACACGCTCCTTGGCTTAGGGTCAACCAGCTCCTTGCGATTCATTTACTGTCCTTCTCTGTAAGGAGAATTACCACCTCTCCATTACTCCATGTGTGACCCGGGCCTCCAGATCTGTCCCTCCGACCCCGTCCCACGGCTGGCTTGGGCTCAGCTCGTAAGCTGTGGAATGAGGGAGGATAAACAGCGGACTCCTGAGATTGTCTCCTTAGAGGATCTGCCCAGCTAGAGCAGCAGAGTTCCCTTTTGAAAACACAAATCTGTATCATGATGCTTCTTCAGGATGGAGTAAGTGTAAAGCAGGAATAAAAAATAAGCTTATTTTATGATCCATCCTCAATTCAGAAAGGAAGCCATGATAAAAACACTCTGCACTCTGTTAAATAACAGAAATTCAACCAAGTCATTTCAGAGATCAAATTGGCTTTATTCAGCAGTTCGCAAGTCGGGCGGCGTCCCACCGAGCAATGGAAAGGAGCTCTGCCAGGCTGTAGAAAAGAAAAGGTTTTTAAAGGTGGAAAGGGGGCGGAAGAGGTAATTATGGGCAAAGAGTGAATTGTTGTAGGCAAGCTCGCCTTCCTGAGGGAAACGGGAGAGATCTCTCCGGTGGAGTATTTCACTGAGTGCGGACAGGCAATTCCGTGGAAACTGGTTAAATGTTACGTTCCAGGGTAGGTGAAACTGCAATTTAGGTTTGATACTAAGTCTTGGTTCACTAGCGTGGGATTTAACATAAGTGACTCCATTTGGGGCCTGCTGCCTCCTTTTTAACAATTCCAAACTTGCCCATAAAGAGAGGGCAGGTGAAGGGTCATGCCCGCCTGCGGTCTGTGGAAACAGGCCTTGGAGGAGAGCACTCTCGGGCAGGCTGGAGGAAAGGCTGCAGGAATGTACACGTTGGTGACAAATGTTTAAGCCCTTGGTGATTTCAGGGCACATGGACGTCTGCGGAAATCTGCATTCTTCGCCTGGTTGTAAATTCAATAACAGGTTAAGCTCCATGGTACCAGGGAATCAGGAGGAGGTGAGTGGAAGAATTCTTTGTGTCATTTTTCCCAAAAGGCTCCTGTGCATGTGCTGGGCCCTGGGCTAATAGCTTCGTTGGCTGTCTTCAGTCGTCATGGCAACGTAAGGACGCCTATGACCGCCATCTTCCAAATGAAGACAATATCAGAAAAATAAAAACAGAACAGATTCTGTTCTGCTGCTCCTCTCTCGTAACCCAGGAAAACACTCTCTAACCCGTGTAGGAATTAGGCAGTTGGAGATGGACGGTCCAGTTGGTCAAGTCTGTATCTTTTATCCGTTCCTCGCAACTTGGGACGCAGGTGGGCATCAGCACAAAGTTGCCATTTGCTGCCAAACCAAACACTTAAAAATCAAACTAAATCCTATTCCTTTCTCTTGACACTCCTTCCCATTTTCCTCTCGGCAGAAACTATATTCTCTGATGGGGGCGGAGAGGCGCCCGGGCTGGTGGGGGGCACAGGGTGTGAGACTCTTCTGGAAGAGCATTTAGCATCCTTTCAGCTCCCTGCATCTGTGTGTCAGCTGCGACAAGGACTGAAGACTTCTCCTTCAACACCCGCCCCCTCTCTGTCCTCTTCACGCTGACACCCAGGTGCTGTCGCCCACCTTGTCCACTGTTCCCCACAGCGCTCAGAACTTGGCATCACGCTGCCGCACTTAACATCCACCTGGAATTAGTTTGCCTTTCCACCGTGCTCGACTGTGTGGGATTTTTCTTGGTCTGCCTCGGCGTGGCATGAAACCCTGTTCAGCGGGACCCGTGCATGAGAGCAGATTTTCATTTGAGCAGAGTTGTGTGTGAGGCAAACAATTATGGGAAGAATTATAACACGTTTTCCAAGTGTCAGTTTCAACCTATCTCATCAGTTTTATGTGTTGTGAAGTTTCCTACAGCAAGCAGGTTGCTGTTACCCACTCTGGCCTTCACTGTGTGGTTACGTAGGAGAAATAGTACTACTACTGATAAAAGCCTCAGTGTACTGAGGGTTTTCACTGTACTAGGCATTCTTCTGAGCATTTAAAGAACATGAACGTACTTAATTTTCACGGTAACCCTTCCTTGGAAATACTGTTATTGCTTTGTTTGACAAAGGCAGAAACTGAGGCACAAAGAAGTGATTTACTCCTTCCTGGAGGTAGTAAAGCCAGAATTCATATCCAGGCAATCTTTCTCTAAATCCCTCACTCTGATTTCACTGCTAATCATTTTTTAAAAAAGCAATAGTAACATCACATTGATGAAAAATCATTTTCTTCCGTGCTCTGGCCGGGATGCTAAGCTATAGAGTTCATCTCACTTGCTCTTTTCTTTAAAAAGAGCTAACAACACTGTTCATCAAGAAACCCTTCCCTCACTCACGTCTTTCTGATCGCACACCCAGGATGACACGACGGCCACAGATGGACAGATGTTCCTTGGTACCCGAGTTGT